AACAGACATCTGAGTAGAGCTATGCATACTTAAGGAAGAGGGTACTCTGGACAGAAACCTTCATCCTGAAAGACGTCATGGGGATCAACTGAGCACGTTATCTCCCTTACTCTCTATATCCATTTTGTCTTTATCCTTGTTAATTTTCGGAGGGTATGGTTTACTTATGTCTATATCTCTAAAGCTTGAATGTGGTTCTCTCATCTTTCTTAACTCTTGAGATACAAGTAGGGTTATTCTGCAATAATTCAATTGAAGTACCAATTTCTGGAACTGTGCCTTATGATTATAGTTGGCTTCTGGATAGATCATATTTCAGTAACTATATATTGATGACATATCAGATATTAAATCATCTTTCAGCAGGAGATGTATGTTATTATACAGCTACATAGTTTGAATATACAGTACGTACTTCCTCTAATATAAGTCTATAGTGGAAGGTACAGTAGGTAGAAAGTATTCAGAATCATATTGAAAGTATTCTATTATATCAATTCTGAAAGGTTCAGGTTCCTGTATTGAACCTCCTAAATTTGAGAAACAATAATACCAACAGTGATTTTCTAGTATGTTATCTAATGTCCTGTTGAATACCAGGTGAGCCTTGTTGACAAGATGAACTAACAATATAATGTTTGGTATTAGGTGGGAGCCAACTGTAATATACATTGAGAATACTTTGGCCAGAATTTTTAGTATAGACAGAGATTGTCTAGAAAGGCTAGGTAATGTTCTTTTCATTTATGACGACAAAGAACCTACTTTAAGAGGACTGCAAAGGTATTGTAATAATGATTAGTTGTAGAACAATTTTTTATATTATTAAGATCTCTTCTCTATTGTTTACTGATATCTGTAAAGCTTATAAGACACTTCAATATTTATATCCCGTATCTGAGTATTCACGGACTACTTCTAACTACTATACAACTAAGTACCTAACTTCTGTCTGTAAGCAATAGTCCTTAGTGTTAACAAGTATAAATACCATTTAATACTGAATTCTTTCATATCATATTCATACTATTTTATAATACAATCTTCATTGTCAGAAGATGTACTTTTATCTTCTATTCAATGGTTTCCGATTTATTGAGTCAAATAGTATTCTTTCTAAAAACATAGTCTGCTTAATTATTATTCCCTTCATCTCTTTGAATACAAAAAGTGGCTAGCTCATGTGTCAGGACCTATATACAATACACCTTCAATATAGAGTGTGCTAATCCTTCATGTCTACTACCTATTAGGTCTTCTGGGTCTGAACATCTTCCCCTCAGTCCACCTTTCCACCTAGAGAATCACCTCCAGACAGATCCTATTTCCAAGACCAACTAACATACAGCTGCCTTCAGAAAGGAATTGGTATTATCTCTCTCTCCTATGATCTTTATGGTACTTTAGAATTGTTGAGGATTATGGTGACCAAAATGTCCCATTACCTGCAGCCTATAATTAGAATACCTAACTTTGAAGCCAGGTAACTAAATGCACCTTCAGCAGATTTCCTCTGTTCTACTTCCTAGAGGTATGTAGAGATTCTCTCCTTCATATCCTGTGAAAATCTTCTGGTATGATAGATGGCTGCAATGTATATACTGTTATGAAGTAGGCTTCATTGAAAAGAAATTATAGTCATGGAACTCAACACTTTTCAATCTCACTATGAATGTGCAGGCCTCATAAGGCAACTAGAAAGGGTTGCTGGCAACTCCAATAAATGAGGATCTGAGCAAGGTTATCCTACTGAGAGGTCTGTGTACAGTTACCCTACCGAAGGGTCTGTGCACTCCCATATGCTTAACAGTAAATCTGCCTCGTATTCTCTTAACTGCCTTTTCATATCTGCATATATGTAATCAACATTACTCCTCATCAGAGTCTTAATAGAATTCCACTCATCTGACACTCCATATATCACTGCTGTAATCTCTGTCTCTTCTGAGAGTGGTATACACTAAATTACTGCAAGATCTACATACAACATGTCAATTTCCAAGAAATGGACCTTTTCTGTTCTATACTCCTTTAATGAAATTCTATCCAACTGGCCACAAATGTTCCTTCCACCTTCCTTAACTGAATCATTATACTTCAATCATATCTTTTCCCACAGTTCTACTTGATCATCGATCAACATGTATTCCAACTAGAGTTTCTCTGATAAACCCAAGCAAATGGTACCAATAGGACAATCATATTGTGTCCAATATACACAAATTTTACTGCTAATGGCATGTTGGATAGTATTGTCATCCATATCTATTGCAGCAGCAGGTTTGTCTTTTTCCCAAGCAACAATACACTAAACAGCATCTCTCTAAAGAGTGGATTTTATCTAGAGAGACTATTGCTAGTAATTGTCCTCCATAAGCTATGCAAATATGATTAAAGTGGTCAACATTGAGGATCTAAATGAAGAAACTAATCATAAATATGATAAAGGGAAATACGGTGATAAACGGAAGCTAAATTGAAAGTAACTAAAATGTAAACTATGAAGGATACAGATCCGGAGATAACATGAGTGATCTGAGTATATATCGATCAATAATAGCTGTACGAGAATGCTTGAGGCCAATGGGGGAAGGGACTGGTAAATATTTGCTAAGAGGGATTCTAGTTTGCCTTCTTAACGATTATCAACCTATCTTGCCAATAGGAGGAATCTGGTATTGTATCAAAAAGATTTCTGACAGTTCCATGAGTGACAGGAGCTTATAATATTATGAAGTTTAAAGGAAGCATGAAAGAATGAAGTGGTGATAGTGGAATCACAATAGATCATAAGTAGTGATAAAAACAGAAGGTGGTAAAACCTCTGGCTGATAACTAACCTCCTAGCTAAGAACAGAACTGGTGATATATCTTCCAAACTTCCAAGAAACACACTAAGGTAATAAACCATGATCTGAAACAATCTAGAACTATCCTGATATCTCATGATCCACTATGATCCCTCAAGCCTCTGCCACATAGAAACTACTCTATTTCTAATTGCATTGACTGTGAAAGAAACAACAAAGGTCAAAAAACCTATATTCCATCCCTAGTGGCATAGGATGCGATAGAAACAGTCTCATACCTCATGTCCAATAACCTCCAATCTCCCAAATCGCATACCTGAACTACATCCACCAAACCACATACCCTCTATTTAGTCTATTAATTAGTATTATAATAATATTATTATTTAGTTTAAAAAATATTATTTATCGTAAACCTAGAAAAATTTCAATTCTGTATATTGTATCAATTGTGAATAGATTATTTGCTATCAAACAAATTAACTTTATTCGAAAAGTATATGTATTCTACTACCTATTATTAATTAGAGTAAAAATCTTCAGTATCTTTTAGTTTAACAATATTTATAATATGTAATTTAATTGTATAGTACTTTTATAAATTCATTTATAAAAATTAGAATAGTCAAAAAACTGATACTACATTATAGCATTATATTTAAGTTTTTTATATATTAATCATCTATTATTATACAATTATGGTAAATATTTGATAAATTTTTAACCATATTTAAAATCTTACATAATCTTATAGAAATATTATAAAGTTTAACTATTTACAATTATTTGCATCTTAAAAAGGCAAAAGGAATAAATAAAATCTTAGAGAAAATATTGAAGGTTCTAGTAGGAAAATAAAGGAGCAGAGCTTCATTATGTACTATAAGGACTCATAGATGCCTTAGTAACACACATATACTTCTACTATTTTAATTAAAATATAGATGATAACTAAGAAACTTGAATGTATTTAGTACAAATAAGATAACAACTATAGAAAGATGAGAGACCTTGGGAACTTTAAAAATCATTGATAGTACAGAGTATCTAGTATCTTCTTATAAAATTTGTTTAATAGTTTCAATATCTGAAAACCTACTATTAACTGAAACCTGGTAAATTACTTTGTAAAACCAATAGAGAGAATAATTAAAGAAATGAATAACAGGTATTGTATATATTTTACAAAACATGTATAATATTGAAAATTCTGTAGCCTCTGCACTTAAAATAAAATTGTGAAAATAAAAATCTTGCTAGTATGAAGAATAAATACCACTAGTGCTACAAGAACCTTGTTTTTTTTTTAAAAAAAAAAAATTAATTGAATAGTTGAAGAAGTTGTAGAACTTTAAACATTATATTTGCTCACATTTAAACATGTAATATAAAAGCTCTAGTATAGGGAAAGAAATGTCCTCTGATATTAGTTTAAATAATAATATTAGTTATGATTAACTAATTATATTGTAAAACAATTTTAAAATTTCAATTGACTAAATATATCTACTTATGTACTACTTCCTTTATTACTTCTGTATACTTTGTGTAATGTTATCAGCTGCTGGACTTGAAATCCTTCATCCACTTAAATGTTTGCAGTAGTCGAGCATAGATTGAGGGGCTTCTAGTATGCAGTACCCTACATTATCGATGATGTAAGGTGCCCCGTATTATTTGACCGCAGTTCTAACATAGCATTCGATTGTTGACATCCAGAGTGGATGGGCACGATCAGGTCATGCTCGAGCAGATCCCTCGTGTTCTGATCGATCGTGTTCGTGTATGTGCAGTCGTACTCGAGTATGCGTGATCACGGTCCTTCACACAGGTACACGAGGATATGTCTCTGGGATCATGTTATAGTCAAGATTGTCTACCCCCCACACTTGATAACATTCTCAACGAGACTACTGTTAACTCTTCGACGCACCTCCCTTCGGGTTTCACATTATAAAATGTCACTTGCACGATCATGGCAAGTGGCAGAAACGGTATTCGACGCTAAGCAAATTGAATAGCTCCAATGACTCGAAAGCGGTCATAATCGGCTATACTCGAGCATGATCTAGCAGTGGCCATGCTCGAGAACTCGGTCAGTATCCACCAATTTGTTCGAGCATTCGAGTATGGGGTCCTCTCGGTCGGATCACGCCCGTATCCATCACTAATCTAGAGCAAGAATTCTAATTACCAATAAATATTTTCTTGAAAGGATATCATGCAAGACAAGTCGAAATAAGGAGAAGCAAGATACATAAAATCCCATAGGTTAGGATACATTCTTTAACACTCTAAGAACCAAGGGTGAGTGAGCACCCAGAGGCGTTTTGTATGTTGCAGACAAATTCAACTAACTTTCGATCGAGTGCCGGGGTGGGCGGGAATAGGTTGTGAGATGAAAAAAGACTTTAACAGCATCATCTGATGATTGGACTCATATTGGAACCCTAAAGGTACCTTATCCTGCTTGCTCGGCGCTGGTTTTCTCAGAAAGAGATGTGAGTTCTCCAACAAACGTTTGGCCCCAGAAAGAACTATACTGACTGATCAGCGTCGAGCACAGAATGCACGCCAACCCGGAGCCACTAACCTGGTATACTTCGTCACATATTCATAAAGCTTTATGTGGTTTGCTTCGCGTAGGCTAGGCGGCATCGTTATGGCCTCATGGATAGCATTCGCCAATTCTTCCGTATTCCATGGGTTGACCACGATACTTCCGCTCAAGCTCTGAGCAGCGCCAGTGAACTCCGACAAGATCATCACTCCATGTCGCCTCTGCTGAGTCGCGATGTACTCGTAGGAAACCAAGTTCATTCCATCTCGGGTGGAACTGACAAGGCATACGTCTGAAACCGCATACAGAGAAATTAATTCCTCGAAGTTGACACTCTTGTGCATAAAGTGGATGGGCATGAATTCAATCGAACCTGAATTTGTCAGCATCGGCAACCCCCCGAGTCACCTGATTTGAGTTAGCCTACCGAAGCGCCCATTTATACGCCCGACAAGCTCATTGACCACCGCGCGGAGATTTTGGTATTCTTCAACGTCACCCCGGCTGGGCACTGCGACTTGGACCAAGACAACCTTTCCAATCCATTCAGGGTGCTCGTCCAAAAAGACCTCCAACGCGTGAAGTTTCTGCGGGACACCCTTGATGTAGTCTAACCGATCGACTCCAACCATCAGTTTGACACCCTGGAATTTCTTCTCAAGCTGCGCAATCCTGTCTTGGACCGATTGTTTCTGCAGACCCTCCTCGAACTTCTCGGGATCAATTCCAATGGGGAATGCCCCAACCCTCCTCAGTTTGCTCTCAAACTCTACACCAGCGGGTGTGGTAGTCAGACCTCTACAGATTTGTCAGGAATATTATAACAACGCATTGAGGGAATTGGCTGGCAAACAAGATCCGAGTGCACGACGACAAGAAGTGTCGTGCGTAATCAAAAGTATGGAAACCCAATAGATCTGCCTCCAGGACATTCCGCAAAATCTCCTCCCTCACGGGCAATATCCGGTAGATTTCACTGCTGGGGAAAGGAGTATGTAGGAAGAAACCAATCTTCAAATTCTTGACTTTGTCACCCACAGCCTTCCTGAGCATGGCGGGAAGGAGCATAAGATGGTAGTCATGCACCCAGACTAGATCGCCTTCCTTCACTGTCATTGCGATGGCTTCAGCGAACAACTGATTCGCATCTCGGTACGCCATCCATGCGCCTTCATCGAAGCTAATCTCGCCGGGGTGGTAATGAAACAAGGGCCATAAGATTGAGTCTATGAGAGAGATTCGGGTTAGGGCCCGGGATTATGCTTAGCCCTAGTGGTGCCACCACTTACTAGAAAAACCATTGTCTTAAGTCAACAAGCCAAATTAGCCAGCGCGCGGGACATTTGGACTAATGTTTCTTACAATGCTTATCAGCCATCTCATCTGGAAGCCATATAGGAACAGCTTGATATTTCTCCGCCAGCTCCCTGGTAACCTTCTCCGCATCCTCATCCGGGACTTCCATTCCCGGCCATCCAAACCAGGAGAAAGTCGTATTCTTGGTCATGCCCGAAAGCCCACTGACGAGTCCTCCGGAGGACATATTGTAAGAGTAATCACCGTTGTCTTTCTTCTTCAACGAGATGGGAAGCCGATTGCTGACCATTATCAAATTTGATTGAGACGCCATCATGAAGAAGGGTGATCCTGAGTGATACCGCTTCTCTTTCAGTTCAAGGCTCGAAATTGATTCCGGGGGAGGAGCTGTTTTCAATCGGCCACAGGGAAAGTAGGGGGGTCAGAGGCCTCTTATGAAATTGTAGGCTACTACCGGGTGTGACGATGCAAATATGTGCAAGGGCCTGGTCCCGGGCGCAGGAGGGGAGATGTGTATGAGCTAATTTGAGTGTAAATCACCTTAGCTTCCGGCGACTAGCAGCTAAGGGTTGGGGGAAGGATGGGGAGGAAATGAATGAAAAAATCGATTGGATGAAGAAGGGGTAGTTATCTCGGAGCAAATACGGTAACTCACAGAAGGACATGTGCAGGGTGAGGCCGGAGACTAGACAAGGGTGTGTGTGTAGTGGGTATGAGTGGTACGAAGGGGAAAAGAAGGGAGTGGGGGTGAGTTAGGTGTGTGCATGACCTCGAGGAGGCATATTCCAGGCAAACAATCATGCACGAGAGAAGGGGATGGGGAAATCCGGGAGAACAAACGATGCCAGCTAGTAGACAGATGTCAAACGATGGTCCCCGTTTCAATTTTTCATGAAAATATAGAGATGTAGCATACCTTTAGTGTCTCTGTAAATTATAAGCTGTTTGTCAAAGCAGTGAAAGTTGTGGTGAGGAAAGTGGAGGAAGAAAGTGACGGAGGGGAAATAATAAGCTCACCATGACGAGGTTATAAGTACTCGAGCGAGGGTTTGCGTCATGATTCACGAAACATCATCCCAGTCTAAACATCAATCCATATCTTTCTGTAGCGTGCACACCTACTCCGATCTAACCTTGCTCTATTCGCCCCGGATCTTAAATAGCGTTAGTTGTACGATACGAGAACTCGGGGATGGTCATGAAGGATGGGAAAAAGGATCAGCAAGATCCTACGAGTATAAGTACTTGGGTATGGACGTAGATGATGGGACGGGCAGGGGTTTTTGAGTCCGGGCTTAGTTTCCGCCAGAGGGAATAATTTTGTGGGGAGCGATACAAGGAAATGGTTGGAAGCTCTGATATCGTCGAGCCCCTGCCCGTCCCATCACCTACGTCCATACCCTAGTACAGGGTGCCCCACTGTACCCGTACTTGTACTCGTACAGTATAGTACGCGATGACGAAAAACAAGGCATGGTTGACATCAGCATCCTGGTATAGAAAACAGATGGATTACCGGCGCCAAGGTTGTGCACAACCCACGGTTGCTCCTTGGCTCGCATCAACAATCTTGGCACTCCTCCAGAGTGTCTACCTACTTCACATGACTTTAAGTTAATACTCAAATCGACTTTACTGCTCAACATGACTTCGTGGCTTACCATACGGAGGTACAGCCGGTAAGTTTTGTACATTTTACTACCAGGGGGGGTTGCACTAGCAGGGGTAAGGACAGTGAATTAGGCATGGTGCTTTATAACCAGTCTTGGCTTGGAATCAAACTGAGTTTTGACTGTTACAACTCAGATCACCAGAGCACCAGTACAAACTTTAAGCAAGTAGAAATGTTTCCTCCTGCTTTCCTATTCTCATAATCTTTTCTTTCTTCTAACAAATAAAACAGTATCAATTTTCCAAAGCTATGGATAGTATAGAATATAACAAAAGGAGCATGAGAGATGGGAAACAAAAAAGGGGGCTAAACGAGAACAACACTGAAAGAAATCCAACAATCTACCTTCTTCCCCAAAGCCTGCTTTCTGGTTCCACCGATGGAGGAATTGGTGAAGTTGTCGCTGCTATTACCTGCAAGATTGTTACTACTGATATGTTCTAATATGGCAATAAGGGTGTGTGAGGGCCCGGTATAAGTGGCGGGCGGGGAATCAAAAACAAGAGCCGTAGAACGCGAGCTGTAGGAAGCGTAATTGTCTTCAAGTGAAGGAGAGCTTGAGGTTGCTATATGAAATGGAGGTTCTCGGACCCCATTTGCAGGAGCTATAGCCACACAATAGCCCTGCAACTGGGTAGACCTTTTCCCACTGTCTTCCGAGGTACCACTGTTTCCTCCTCACCCAATCTCATGTTCTTTGTAACAATCCCGCCCTGGATAGTTAGTTCTTGGCGACGGGGAATGATACTTTTCTTCTTCTTCTGTTTCTTTCCTTAGTCTTACGATAGCACTAGGGCTCTGCCTATGTTACCGATAGTACAAGACCTTTGTCTTTT